TTTTATTGACAAACATATTCATGGATTTATTACATAAAACATACAGAAACCAAATATTTTGTAAATTAACATTAAATTTTTAATTATATAAATAGCAAAATTAATAATTTAAATTTTAAGTGGGTACAGTTATTGTTTAAGTCTGAAAATGTTTTCGTTTACAAAATAAAAACGACAATTTTTATTAAATTCAGTTGTCACCCACAAATGCATAAACAATAGTAGTTCTAACATTCATTTTATATTTCATATATCCTTAATTATTTTAGATTTTTTTTTGTTTTAAACAGACATTAAATTTTAACCCACAATAAGAAAAATATTAGGGATTTGAAGTCAAAATTTGTGCACGTAATATTCATGCATATCCTTAACGTACATACATACATAATTATATTCGTATATATTAAATTTATATATATATGCTAAGTTTTTAGTAAATTATATTGAATTACAATAAAATAAATTACCCGCATCCTTTGTATTTTAAAAATAAAATGTTGGCATTTATTTTGAAAACCACTTTAATTTCATTTCAACTCACAATTTATATTTTATGACATACTTATTCTCTAATTGTGTCAAGGGGTCATAAATGTCAGGAGGTCTTTTACACTTTTGCTTTTTTTTTAAATCACTTAAAATTGAATTTCCTTTTGTCACTTCAAATCTTTTACTAAACGTGTAAGAATAAAATTTTTATTCTTCTTATAAATCTATGATCTTAAAATATGTTTAGAGATTCACTTCTACACAAAATTTTTATTTAACTGTCACTTACTGATTAATAACGTTAAAATTAAATTTTGTCATTGAATAAATCTTACGCACAATAAAAACAAAAAGGGATATATTTAAATTTAAAACAAATTAATAATTGTCTATGTTGTAGCATATCCTTAAATGTTTTTCTCAAAAACATTAAGTTTAAAATATAAAAACAAAATAATTAATTGCTTATAATTAGAGAGTATAGTCACAGAGTAGAAATTTTTGAAAAGAAACAAATTAAAAACAGAATTTTCGAATTCTTTAAATTAATGTTCAACATAAATGATCAAAAATAAAGATATTGGATCAAATGGTAAACCAAAATTTCAAATATTTAAACTGCAGGCATCAAAATAATAACAGTGGGGAGTCTTGAAAATGTGACAAACATTTTATGAAAAATTGATTATTCCCTTTTTAATGAATCAAATATTAAAAAATTATAGAAATATAAAGAGGTTTATCGCTTCTCCTTAAATTTATTTAATTTATATACTGCTGCCTTAACACATTATGGATAACAGTAATTGTTAAAATGATTTCCGGCATGTATATTACATACTTGTATGAAATTGATTTTTTTTAAAGATGAAACAATTTTATAAATCCTTACTTTCATAAATTACAGCTACCTACCTTTTGATTAACTTTGTTGATATTTTAGCAAATTTAGTCAAGATATTGCTGTAATCAAAACTAAGTTACAGAGCTGTATTGATGATAGGCGGCATATGATATTTTCCGGGTTATTAATTTTTACAAATATAAGGGAAACTAGCTTTTAGAGTAAAATATTTGCATAACAGTAGAGAGACACCAATTTGAAAGCTTGTTGTACATTTTCTAAGTCATTGATGAAAAATACTGGGAAAAAAATAGCATTTAGAGTACTTTATTTTTCTCAATAACGCCTAAACCAGATCAGGCAGCATGATACACCTAGATACGAGACAAACTGAATAAAATCCAAAAAGTTTACGCTATGAAAATACTGCATATACTAATTATTATGCTTATAAATTAGGTACTTGATTTTATGTGATTTCCCATATTTTGTGAGTGGCGTACATTAGTCTTTAATTAAGACAAACGTTATTTTCTAATTTTAACTTTACATACTAAGAAATAAATGATTAGTTAAAATTACGTACTTCCAAAGAGAATAGCAAACATTTCCAAAGTAATAACACAAAAAACATGAAATTATAATACCTATCATTATTTAACTTTCAGATATGCATTGTGGGTCTGCAAAATATTAGTTTGTTATAATGTAGGTATACATATTGTACATGTAGGTATTCCAACATCTTAATAAAAACACTATAGAATTCACTGACTTTACGCGATATTACATTGTTCATATTTATGAACATACATCTACCAACTTACTAAATTTGACAAATTCTCAACTTGTTTCAACTTGAATTACATTTTCGTTTTGTAGGTAAATGACAAAATTATTAGGAAAAGTGCTGAAGTCTTTTACTTTCATACATAAAAGATAAATTTTATCATTTACTTGTTTTCACACAAACAAGTAAACGTATATTTTATTTAATATTTATATTACTACTTACATATGTACATATATACGCAAAAGTATATATATACCTATTATATATACCTACTTACATATGTACATATATACCTATTTATATACGCAAAAGTATGTATGTATCTACCTAGTTTTAAATACTAAAATTCTAGATTATTTTAACTTAAAAAGCAATATGGGGAAGTGCCTACATATTTTATTAATTCAAATATAAAAAAATCTGATGTGGTCAGCACATAACCGACCGCAATGTGTATTGTCTAGTTAAGTGAAAGTGTTACAGAATATTATAAAAATGCCTGTTAATTACCTCTTTCCAATTTTTAGGACATTAGTAAGCTTATAGTTAACATACCTAGAAAAATGTAAATTTGGCTCTTAGTAGAGTTTCTCTTTGTGCTACCCGAATTCCCTGAAATGCTCGCCAGTTAGTTTCGGTAACAACCAGAACTCAAATATCAAATTTCAAGAAACTCCATCAATTCGTTCCGTAGATATGGTGAAAAATGTAAAATCGGCCTGCAGATCAGTTTTCGAGCCCTGATCGTTCCAAAAAATTTACATGTTCATTGTTTTAATACAAGGAATTCAAATATTAAATTTCAATGAAATCGGTTGATTATTTCTCTTTATATACACAAAAGTGTATAATTGGCCCGTAGTAAACGTCCAGTTGCCGATGCCTGATTTGTTCCAAAAGCTAGGAATTTTCACGGACGGTCAAACAAAGCTCATATATGAAATTTCAAGTAAATCGGTTGAATATTTTCTTCAAAATGGTGAAAAATGTAAAATCGGCCCGCAAATAAGTTTTCGAGTCCTGATCTTTCCAAAAAATTTATATGTTCATAGTTTTCATACGAGGAATTTATATATTAAATTTCAATGATTATTTCTCTTTATATACACAAAAATGTATATTTGGCCCGTAGTAAACGTCCAGTTGCTGACGCCTGATTTCTTCCAAAAGCTAGGAGGTTTCATCGCCGGTAGAGCAAAACTTATATATGAAATTTCAAGTAAATCGGTTGAATATGTTCTTCAATATGCTCAAAAATGTAAAACAGGCCCGCTAAAAAGTGCAGTTCCCGAGGCCTGATATATACCAAAAGTTGATCGATCCGTGCCATGGTGGAAATAAACTTACATATAAAATTTCATCAAAATCGGTTCAGCCGAACTTGAGATACACACGCGCACACACAGACCGACAGACGGACAGACCGACAGACCGACAGACCGACAGACCGACAGGTTGCTAAAAATAGTTTATTTACACTTCCCTACTATGGAGAAGTACGTTCCCACCGAAAACTCGATATGCAAAATTTGTTGCCATCACATAACCTACCTATTGTTTACACAATATGGTCGGTAAAAAGCAGTATTTGTCACTGTAAAACTATTTTAAATTATTCTATTGAATTAATTAAAAATTATTTGATTAATGAACTTTCCAATGAAAATTCTATGAAGCATACAGTCACACAAGAAACCATAACAAAAATGTATAATGACAAATACTTAATTTATAAAACGGCAGCAACAACGACTATAATATTGTAAAAGCAAAATACAACAAAATATTAAACATTAGCATTACTCATTCATTCACTCGCACTCTTTAATATATTTTAACGTATGTACATATAAATGAAGAAAGACTCATTAAAGCGACACATCGATTGGGAATCTTGTTAAATTTATTACTATACTTACAGTCACACTTCCATACATAAATATGAATTAAATATACATACATATACCTATGCACTAATGAATTGTGTTGAAAAACAAAACTACGTAGGTTAAATTCCGTAACAACAACATTTAGTTCAGTTCAGTTCAGTCATTTTTTAATAAAATTCATATTTTTCGTTGGTTTTTTTTTTCATTTTTTAACTATTATTAAAGTTACAGTCATCATTTTTATGGATGGTTTTACAATTACAACAAAAAAAACTACAATACCATGAATCATAATCGTAACTATCATATCATAATTTTTTGTTTTCTACCTTGGTCATTTAGTAATTCATTCATTCGTAACTGAAACTCGCTCAGGTTTAAAATTGACAAGGAAAAAGTTCATAAAAATTTTATTTTATAACAGCATTTATTTATTCATAGACAAAAGGTCAAAAATTACTCAAATTTCAACTTTAAAAAACTTTTTTACTTTAAGTTGAATTAATTTTTTTTTTTTGTTTCTTGAAATGCTTTTTGAGTAACTTGAAATATTTTTATTCTAGTTGTGATTAGAGAAGCATTTAAACGTTTTGTAAGTCTGGTGATATTCCTCAAAGAGGAAAGAAGTGCCTTTGTTTTATAAATCATAAAACTGATAAGAAATAAAAAAAAAAAAAAAAAAGAAAAGAAAGCAAAATCAAAACGTAAAATCATATATTATACTTTTATACCTGCATAGTTTATAGTCTTTTATACCTAACATAGTTTGCCGTTATTTTGAATTGTGTTTGATTTATTTTTATATTTCAATTAAATTCTTTGTTATTATATTAAATTATATTATTGATTTGAAAGTTATTTAAAAAAAAAAAAAAAACTCTAAAGTACATAATGTCGGGCGATAGCCCTCCACCTGTTGGTGGTGTGGCACATATTAGTAAATTAATGGACCCATATATAAGACTTGATGAATCAAAAAAATTGGTAAATTTTACACCAGGCGAAAAATTTTTAACAATCAAGAGAAATGATGAAAATAAAAATATGTCGTCGGTGTCGCCTTTTTTACTTAAAAAAGTAATACAGAATATTGCTGGTGATGTACTTAGCTGTACAAAGATAAGAGACGGTACTGTTCTAGTAAAAACTAAAAATGTCGTACAAGCAGGTAAGCTAATAAAACTAGTGAAATTAAGTCCTGAAGTAAATGTACTAGTGGAGGAACATAAAACCTTAAATGAAGTAAAAGGTGTTTTCTATAGTCCCGATCTTCAATATGTATCAGACGAGGAATTCCTAAATGAAATGAAGGATCAGAAAATAATTGAAATTAAAAGATTTAAAAGGAAAACTGATAATGCTTTTATTGAAACAGGACTTTATTGTGTTAAATTTTCGGTAACGAAGCTGCCAAATGAAATATTTATTGGTTATCAAAGATATAGTGTCAGGCCTTTTATACCTCTACCGCTTAGGTGTATGAAATGTTTAAACTTCAACCACTTAACTGAAAATTGTAAAAAAGAAAAAATGTGCTCGAATTGTGGTGAACTGTACCATTTGATAGATAATGAAAAATGTGCTAAACCTGAAAAATGTGTAAATTGTAAGGATTCTCACAATGCATTTTACAAGAAATGCCCTCGATTCCTGAAAGAAAAGGAAATCAAAACTATTAAAATAAAAGAGAACGTAGACATGAAGGAAGCAATCAGGAGATATAATATGCGTTTTCCATTCGTAAGACCACTTTCTGAAATACTTAATAATCAAAAGCAGGTATGTCGATGTAAATGTTCGTGTAACAACAAAATAACAGATGAAGATAAAATCTCTGACAAATCGAAAATTGTTTTTGGGGATGACATGAAAAAAAATGAACATGAAAATAAAATAGAAAACAAGCCAATTATTCAGCCAATTATTCAGCCAATTAACCCAAGTGCGAATATTACCAAATCTATAACATTAGAAAATGGCAATATAATTTTACCAAAAAATCTTTCAAAAAAACAAAAACGAGAAATTAAAAAACAAATAAGTAAGAACAAAAAACCAAAAACTGATGAGAAAGATGACTCGAGCACCACTAGCAGCATTGGGGATCTTGACATGGTAGATAATTTTGAATAAATGTCTGTTTTATATAATATAATACAGTGGAATGCCGATGGCCTTTATAGTCATTACGAAGATTTTGAATTACTGATTAAGAAATACAACCCTTTTGCAATAGGTATACAAGAAACAAAATTTAACAAAAACCATGTGCCTAACAAAAAGAATTATGAAGTTTATTACAAAAATGTACTATCAAATACGGTTGCCCATGGAGGAGTAGCCATATATGTACACACTTTATATAAATCCGAAGAAATAGTTATAAATTCTAACATCCAAGTAGTAGCAGTCAAAATATTTTTTCCAATAAAGTTCATTTTATGCAACATCTACTTAGAAAATAATGTTAATATAAATAAAGCAGATTTAGTTAATATTTTTCAACACTTCGATTGTCCCTTCTTGTTGGTTGGAGACTTCAACTGCCATAATTATTTATGGGGTTCACAAAAAATTGACAGGAGAGGAAAAATGATAGAAGAGATTATAGATGACCTTGACCTTATACTAATGAATAATGGAAATCCAACTTTTTTTAGCTTCTCTCACAAAACTCATAGCTGTATTGACTTATCTATTTGTACACCTATAATTCAAAATTATTTCAACTGGACTATAGAAGAAAACCTTTTTAATAGTGACCACTATCCGATTGTTATTTCTGCAGTTTTATTAAACTCTACTTCGTCTCAAAGAAGAAAATGGTTGATTAAAAAGGCAAACTGGAAGGAATATCAGGAAAAATTAAAACTTAATTATCCAGATTCTGAATTAAATGAATCTACAATCAATAGTTATGTGTCACATCTAACCAAAAATATAATAGAAACGGCTGAAATCAATATTCCAACAAACAGTAATAAGGAAATGAAACGTTGTGTTCCTTGGTGGAATGCCAAAATAAAATATGCAATCAAAAAAAGAGAAAAACTTTTTAGAAAATACAAGAAAACTATGAATTTCACTGATTATAAAAATTTTATTAAAATAAAATATGAAACAAGAAGGCTTATTAAATTCCATAAAAAAGAAAGTTGGCAAAATTTCGTTATGTCCATTAATAGTAATACCACAACAAGTGAAGTTTTTCAAAAAATTAGATCAATAAACGGAAAGAACAATACGAATGATATTACGACACTCATACAGGATGATAAAATAATTACTTCAAAGGAGAATATTTGTAATTTATTGGTAGAACATTTTTCGGCTGTATCTAGTACAAGAAATTATTGTGATAAATTTATCAAGCATAAAAATAAAGAAGAAAAGGCACTATTAAACTTAAAACTATCTTCAGAGGAAAGTTACAACAAACCTTTTTTTATTGAAGAGATGGAAAATAGCTTATTGGATTGCAAAGGTAGTTCCCCAGGACCAGATCAAATTCACTATGAATTTTTGAAAAAACTAAAAGAAGATGACAAACTTGTATTATTAAATCTTTTTAACACTATATGGGAAAAAGGAATTTTCCCAGAGAAATGGAGGCAAGCCATCCTTATTCCAATTTTAAAACCAGGCAAAAATCCAACATATGTTTCAAGTTATCGACCTATAGCTCTTACAAACTGCATTTGCAAATTACTAGAAAGAATGGTTTCCAAAAGGTTAGTTTGGTTTTTAGAGAAAAATGAAATTTTAACCAAATATCAAGCTGGATTTCGAAAAAAACGATGCACCATGGACAATCTTTCATATCTGGAATGTGAAATAATAAAAGCATTTTCAAAAAACGACCTTACTTTATCTATCTTTTTCGACCTAGAAAAAGCATATGATATGGTATGGAGAAGAGGAATTATAAATGAAATGATTAATATAGGTATTACCGGTAACATGTTAATTTTCACATACAATTTTTTACAAAATAGAAAAATACAGGTTGATATTGCAAGAAATACTTCAAAAATAATGGAAATTGAAAATGGTACACCACAAGGTTCGGTCCTTTCAGTAATATTATTTATAATTCATATTAACACTATTAAATCGAAAATTGAATTACCAGTAAAATTTGCCTTATTTGCTGATGATTTGGTAATATTTTTAAACGGTAAGAATTTAAAAAATATGCAAGCTAAAATGCAGAATACTTTAAACAAAATTTCCCTATGGTCCGAAAATACTGGTTCAAAGTTTTCAACTACCAAAACGGTAGCCATGCTTTTCACAAAGAGAAGAAAAAAATTTTATTATCCTGACTTATATATTGGAAATTACAAGATAAAATATGTTCTGCAACATAAATTTTTGGGTATGCTTTTTGATACAAAACTCAGCTGGAAATATCATATACAAAATATAAAAAGTAAAGCCAAAAAAAGTCTAAATATATTGAAAATTCTAAATCACACTGAGTATGGGTCAGATAGAAACATGTTATTAAGACTCTTGAACGTACTCATTCTACCTATTATTGACTACGGTAGTTTTATTTATAGATCGGCGAGTAACACAATGCTTAAATCTCTAGATACGATTTTGAATACTGGCGTAAGAATTGCTACTGGTGCCTACAGAACTACTCCAGTTCAGAGTCTTTTGGTCGATAGTGCACAATTACCATTGAATTTGAGAAGTCAAATGCAGGGCATGCTTTATGGTCTTAAAATATTATCCTTTGGCACACATCCTTTGAGCGAAGAAATGAAAAAAAACGAAGAGACCAACAATATAAGTAAAAGAAGTGTTTTAAAGCCTGTGACCTCACGAATTAAAGAAAATTTACAAATTATTCAACCAAAAAATATAGATACCCAACAATTTGTTCAAAAACCCTATTGGTTAAATACGAATTTAAACGTAGATGTTTCCTTAAGTAATTTTAAAAAAGAAGATACTTCAAAAGAATTATATAAAAAACTGTTTAAAGAAAAAATTAGCACCAAATACCTATATTATGATATTGTATATACTGACGGGTCTTTATTAGATAATAAAACTGGATGTGGGTTTAAATTCAATAAAGTAACAAGAGACTATCATTTACCAGATAATACAAGTATCTTTTCAGCCGAGTTATATGCAATTCTGAAGGCTGTTGAATATATTAATAAAAATTTTATAAACAAAAAAGTGGTCGTGTGCTCTGATTCTCTGAGTGCACTAAAATCTATTAGTACTCTTATTCCCTCGCATCCCACGACACAAAGAATAAAAGAAGCAATTTATGAGAATAAGAACAAGTTTTCATTTTTGTGGGTTCCATCACATATGAATATACAGGGAAATAATGAAGCTGATTTATTAGCTAAAAATGCTATAAATTCACCAATAGTGCAAAATTATAAACATGTTTATACGGACTTGAAAAGATTAGTGATACAACAAATTAAGGCTATTTTTAGTGAAGAATGGAGACAGTCAAATCAATCTACTAAATTGAAAGAAATTACAGATAAAATACCGGCGTGGAATAATTTAAAAAATTTAAAAAGAAAAGATTCCATTATAATAACAAGGTTAAGGCATGGACACTCGAAATTGACGCATTCCTATATATTCGATAAAAAAACACGACCTATCTGTGATGTATGCAATGGAGATCTGACCATCAGACACATTTTTGAAATTTGCCCTAAATATAACGTGGAAAGGAAAGTTTACAGTATGAATATCAAGCTTCTTTCTGTGGATGATAATGTAGTTTATAACAACATAATTCAATTTATCAAAAAAATTAACTTATACCAAAATATTTAGGTCAAATTTAAAATTAATAATATTAATTTAGCTTAATCTATGTAAAATAATTTAATCTCTTTTTAAAATTTAATACTATATTAATTAAGAGTTTGGCTAAAAAATTTCTTTTGCTTAAAATTAGTTTAAAAAAAAAAAAAAAAAAGTAATATTGAAGTATTTTTATTTAGAATTTTGCGAATAATTTTAACTGATAATATATGTAAATTAGATGAAAGTACTTAATTTTTGCTTTTGATGAAATATTATTAATTACGATTTTAATTTTGTAATTTTTGCAATGTAAAGCTGAGCCCAAGGAAACCCAAAAGGAGTTGGGGCTCTTAGATTTTATTGTTAATAAATAAATAAATAAACGTTTTGTAAGTTTTGATTTTTATTACATATAATGAAATTGTGCATTTGAATGTTTGTATAGTAATATTACTATTATGACGGGAACAAATAAATTAAAGTATGAAAAAGAAAAGAACAAAAAATTAAGGAAATTAGAAATTTGTTGGACACAACCTTAAGATGTATCATTACTGCTACTGTTAAGTCAACAATATTGTCACTTGTGCTGCTCAATATTTAGTCCAATATTTTTTAGCTATATGCTTACTGATGTCTTAAACATCGCAACGATAATCCTTCATAAATAAAATATTTAATTACTACCGATAAGCAATTGGTGCATGTACTTTTTATTAATAACAAGTTGCACCATAACACTGTCCTTTTACAACTTATTTGTCTAAATTACTTCATAATATTAAATATTTCACTTCAAAATTCAGTTCAATTAAAATTTAAATTTAATTTTCACTTAACCCATTTATATATGTATGTACATAGTTTCTTCCAGGCCTAGTTATAAACTAATAATATGTTCGAAAAACTTATCGTCCAATTTTTTGTATATCTTTTTTTAAGTATTTTTTTTCTGAGCTCTTGTTCTGATCTCGTTATGCTGACGTTACTAATGGAATAATTTGTTTATTATGTATTTTTTTTTATGAAAATATTTTGTATCGTATAATAATAAAAGCGATAATTTCTCGCGCCATATTCAATTTTCGTTGTAAAACTTTTTACATATTAGACTAAGAAAGAGAACATCGTGGTCATTGTTTCAGTTTCTTGTATGCACTATGTAGCATACACAAAAGTTCTTTTCATGCAATCTTATTGCATTTTTTATGATTAGTGGCATGTCAAATAGAAAATGTACATATTTGTTTTTTTTTTTCGCCTTATTATTATCGTTATTCCTTTCAGAAGTGAAGTGAAGCTATATAGATAAAAATTATAAGCTTTGATTATGGCACGTGTACTCATTGAATTTATGTTGGTGTAATAATAAAGAATAATGGAAACATTTGCATGCTTGTTGATACTATTTTGTTTAAGCCCAATTTTATGTATGCACACATGTATACTGAAATGTTTATATATAATTTTATTATTTTTGATGAATGCACATATACATATATGCATATGTATGTAAGGCTATATAACGTTTATTTTATGTAGAATTATTTTGAATTTTGAATTATGGGTGCATTTTGATTGCTTTAAAAATATTTTGTTCTTTTTAAATTATGCATTTTAATATTATAATGGATTTTGTGATTTCTTTATATTTATATTCGGTTCATGTTTCTTATATTTTCGAGCACAGAACTACGTATATTTAAACAAAGAAATCTATTTGTATTTTTAGAACAAATTGATTAATTTATGTACATATGTATATGTATACACTTAAATCTTTCAACGAAAAATAATACCCAGAAATTTTGCAGTGCTTAACATACATTGAAAAACTCAATCCTAATCAATTCAATTTACAAAAAATCTCTTGAATTAATTCAATGTAGCAAAGTGTTTCAAGAAAAATTGTCTCTATAAAATCTATTTTGTTTTTTGAAATATAATTAAAAATATGACATACAAAAATATAATGATC